ATTCACTTTAGCATCTCTACACTGGAAGCAAGTTTGAAAGTTTGAGTCTCTTCTGACATCCATTTTGGTCTTTTCCTTCTTTCTTGTCTTCTTAATGACCTTATATGTTCTTTCTCTATGATGTCATCCCACAACTCTTCTGGTCTTTGGTGTCAAATGCATCAAATCTGTTCTTTAGATGCTCTCTAAATTCAGGTGGGATATATTCAAGGTCATAGTTTGGCTTGTATAGACTATTTTAATTTTCTTCTGCTTCAGCCTGAACTTTCATGTGAGCAACTGATGGTCTGTTCCACCTTTTTTTTGGCTGATGATATGGAGCTTTTCCAATGTCTCTTTTCACAGATGTAGTCAATTTGATATCTGTATAGTCCAGCTGGTGCGTTCCATGCGTATAATAGCCTTTTATATTGTTTTTAAAAGGTATTTGCAATGAAAAAGTCTTTGGTTTTACAAAATTCTCTCATACAATCTCCAGCATCAATTCTATCACCAAGGGTGTATTTTCCAACTATTAATGCTTCCTCTTTGTTTCCAACCTTTGCATTCCAATCATCAGTAGTTATCAGTACATCTTGATTGCTTGTTTGATCAATTTTCGACAGAAGAAATTGATAGAATTCTTTAATTTCATCATCACTGGTTGTTGCATTAATTTGAATAATAGACAAGTTGTTATTGTTAAGTGCCATTGAGTCAGTTCGGGCCCATAGCAACCCTGCATAGGATTTCCAAGGAGCAACTGGTGAGCTTGAACCGCCAACTTTGTAGTTCAAATGGCTTTGCAGTCTGGCGCATTAACCCACAGCGCCACACCAGGATTCCAATAGACAGCATAAGTTGTTGTTGTTGTTGTTAAGTGCCATCGAGTCGGGTCCGACCCATAGCGACCCTGTACAGGGTTTCCGAGGGTGTAAATCTTTACGGGAGTAGAAAGCCTCATCTTTCTCCCGCGGAGCGGCTGGTAGTTTCGAACCGCTGACCTTAAGGTTCGCAGCCCGATTCGTAACCACTATGCTACCAGAGCTCCTTAATAGACAAGTAGGGGGAGATAATTAGTAGTATTCTCATTTTTATGGAGTTTAGTTTATATGTCTCATTCATTTTAATCTCTTCTCACAGAAGAGGAAACTGAAGTTAGATGACTAAAGACACCCCTGTCTTCCAATGCTGTATCAAGACGACCTGTGAGAGAGAAGTTTTGACATTGGAGGATCTTTTAGGAAATGTTCATCCACATGATTTGTATGGCTAGCTCAATTTTTATTACATTTTTCCTTTTTTATTCTTCTGAATAAATTCTCCATGTTTTTAGGAAGTACGTTTACTAATTGAACTACATTCCTTAACTCCAATTCATAAAGTAGGGGGTGAAATGTTAAATGATTTTCATCGTTACAATTGGGGGGGGGGAGTGGGCAAGGTTTAAAAATCCAAAACAAATATAACACGTAATTTCTGAAATGTAGTAAATGTAATACAGTTTTCACAATTCAAGTCTTGAGTTGCAATATTGAAGGATCTCTGGGCAAGATACGGAATGACACAGGAAGCATCAAAAGAAGATGGAAGGATTACACAGAGTCACTGTAACAAAAAGAATTGGTTGATCCTCAATCATTTCAGGAGGGAGAATATGATCAAGAACCAGTTATATTGAAGGAAGAAGTCCAAGCTACACTGCCAAACAAGGCTCTTGGTGTTGAAAGAATACCACTTGAGAAGTTTGAACAAATAAATGGATACAACACTGAAAACACTCACAGATCTATGCCAAAAAATTTGGAAGAGAGCTACCTGGCCAACTGACTGGAAGAGATCCATGTTTATGGCCATTCCAAAGAAAGATTATGCAACAGAATGTGGAAGTTACAGAATAATATGATTAATATCACATGCAAGCAAACTTTTACTGAACGTAATTACAAAATGGTTGTAACAGTACATTGACAGCTGCCTGAAATTCAAGGTAAATTCAGAAGAGGACTTGAAACATCATTGCTGATGTCAGAACTTGTTCCAAACGCAGAGAATACCGAAGAGATGTGTATCTGTGTTTTATTAACTATGCAAAGGCTTTTGACTCTGGGGATCTTAACAAATTATGGGTAGCATTTGGGAGAATTGGGATTCCAGAACTTTTCATTGTTATCATGCAGAACCCTTACATAGCTCAAGAGATAGTCTTTAGAAAGGAACAAGGGGATACTCAATGGTTTGCAATCAGGAAAGGCATGCTTCAGGGTTGCATACTTTCACCACCTATTCAATCTGAATACTGAGCAAATAACCAAGAAGCTGGGTTATATAAAGAAGAACATGACATCAGGACTGGAGGAAGACTCCTTAACAACTTGTAAC